GCCTTGCTTTCCCAAAAGTTGTTCTCATCCAGGGTGGACTGCATTTTCGACCTCGCATCGGTCTTATCAATACCCACAGCGGGAGTCGCACTGTTACAGTGCAGGACGGTAGCTCGACACCCATTAAAAAGAATATGATATAGCAAAGAGGTCTGACCTTCCTTGAAATTCACTTATGCCCTGTGACTCAAGGGTACTCGTGGTAGTGTAGCCGTGTGGTTAACGTGTCAAGCTACCGTCCTGCACTGTCGCGGTTCGACTCCGGCTGAGGGTGTTAATAAGACCGATGCGAGGTCGAAACTGCAGTCCAACCTGAATGAGAACAACTTTTGGAAAAGCAAAGCTATGTGAAATTCAAGGAAAACGTCAGCTCAACTCATATTATTGTGGGAAAATTCTACTACCAGTCCTTCATCACCTTAGACTAAATAGGGTGAATACATCTCATTACACTGATTTACTGGTAGTCTCGAAACCCTACTCTAATACGAATACTAGAAGGTTGAACAGAAAATATTGGCAAGGAGTGATTAGATAACGGTTAAAGAGAAAATTAATCAAGGGGATTGCTTTCACTTGTTACTTCGATAGGTTGTAACTCTGTGCTTACAATGGCGCGTCTTACGTACAATGCCGGCAAAACGTTTGGGAATGCTGGAAATCGCGAATAAAATGGCAGAGGACAAAGGAATAGTTACGTTCCACAAGGGCTCCCTGACGTTCGAACCAAGTTGCGAAAACAAGGTAAAACCAACACTATAAAGCAAAAGAAGACTGAGTCCAAACAGAAGACCACACCACTTTGGTATTTATATCTAAGGCATGGATTTTGTTTAAACTTTTGGACATTAGCCTTTCTCTTGTACCTATTTTTATACTCGTTTCAATTTTAGCCACTGGAGCCTCATTGGCTATTACTTTTAAATACTGTGTTCATTTATTATTCCTAATAAAAGAAAGTCTGCGTTTTTATAGACTCTTGACCTAATTTAAGATGTTGATTAAGATCGACGAGTATTAAATAAATTCTATACCTAATACATAAGTGAGAAGTATTCACATTTTTCTATATATATGTAAAAATAAATTTTTATACTAACGTTTTAATAACTTCGAGTAATTGTGTAAATTACTAAATACTAAATACAAATAATAAGTATATTTTTTATTTACTTGTTTGGAACATATGCAGATGGCCTAGTCGATAAGCAGGTCAACGTATTCCAACCAAATGTGACTAATCAAATGGTGCCTGCCTCCTTAACCAGCCTGGAGAAGATAGGACACTCCACTTTGTCGATGTCGTCTAGCGGTGGCGACTGGGAGGCCAGTCAAGAGCATTTAGTACAACTGGAGAGGCGCATTCATGTCTGGTATGCACAGCTGGATGAGATGTGCCAGATGGTTTCTAGCCCTGATGAACAACGTTTTTACACACAGCCTATAATGAGTAAGGTAAATGGGAGCTGATATTCAGCGATGCATCAGGTGTATTTGTTAGCAGCATCCAAACTAATCATATATCTAAGAAACTTAAAAAATTAAGAAAAACTAATAAAAGTAGGAAAAGTGAGTAATTCAACCATTATTCTTCACACTATGACTATAATGGTGTAAATAACTGTCTAATATTGAACCCCTTAAAAATATATGCCAAAAATAATAGGGGTAGAATCGTTATTCCATCTCAATAAAATAATTAAAAATAAGAGTGGCAAAATTTACAGAATAAAACCTTATAAGTAAAATATAACTGACTTTCACTTTTGACAGCATTATTAATTTCGAACAAAGGAAACTTTAATATATAGCAAGGTACCATGGTTAATTTTCACTGTACCTCGACTTCTGGACGGATTTAAGTATCCACTTCTTCTAGGCTACATCGCTGAACTTCAACCTAATTTAAAGAGTAGGATAAGTATTATTTCATACATTATCTAATAGAAAACAGCACCCTCGGTCCATATAGGTATATGGCATTCATGGTGCTAGAGGAAGAAAATGTTATACACAATAAACGTTTATTATGGAGCTATGTCGATTAGGCGAGCAGGTCTAACCTGTTAAACTCGATGCCACAACTTGTTTGTTTTAGAGCAATTTCATGATTTCTTATAGGAGTTGTTTGACCCTGTTTTCACAACATGGTCATATTAGTAGGAAGACTTAGAGAAACGCACCTAGTCCGGAGTCTATTGTCTGTATGATCATTTCCATAGTTGAACCGTGGACGTGGTACATTTCCAAACGTTTCGCCTGCGTAGTAGTCGGCATCGTCAGTGAGTATAGCCATTCTTAGCACCACACAGCAACTCGTCAAAGAGACAAGTGAAGCCGATCCTTTGAC